AAGTTGGGTGTAAAAATTGAATGTTACATCTAAAGTAAACACTAAGCAAGGTTAGGCAAATTAAGTAAGCATGTACGCACAAGCTTGTCGGGCGATTGATCATACGAAACCTTGTGCAATTCATCGAGAGTTTGAAGAGGTAACTACAGTTCTAACCTCCTTTTATGTTTATTAAGTCATGTTAATACTGAATCAAGTAGTTCATGTCAAGAAATTCATGAAGAGAATATGATATGTTCAAATTAGATCATATTGATCCTCACCGAGTGATGTCCGATTATGTTCGAATAAAACCGAGTAATTCATGCTTATTTGATCATGTTAGATCATTTTAAGTCCAGTTATTTCATGTTAGTCGAGACAAGTTGAAGTTTGGTTCATGATTTGGCTCAAGAAAGTGAGCTGCACACGTAGTGCACGCCCACGGGCCGTAGTATATGCCCTCTCGTGTTATCTTTCAATATGATTAGAATTGTTCGAGTAATCCTTGTCTCAATAGTCTTTAAATAGTATATGATGATCAGTTTCTTGAAGTCATTCGAGAAAAGTTCATGTTTACTCGAAAAATTGGCTTAACGCCAAACACGGGCGTACGGTGCGCACGTCTCGACGCTACGTCAGTTCATCGAGTGAAGTCCATAGCTGTTGAGTGAATTCAGCGTATATAGTCATGACAAGTCATATTAGGTTGTTTTATGTTGGTTCGGTCGAGAGTAGTCGTTAAACGGCCGACAGGGGTCGGTCGTGGCCGAGCTGTCCGCACGTAGCGCCAGCAACACGCCAGCAACCAGTCACTGCAGCGGACAACGCGCAAACATGCCCAGTCGGGCGTCGCGCGTAACCCCTGCACGCAGCGGTAGTCCACTGGCAGTGCATGTGCATGCTAATTGTGCACTGTGCACGCCAGTGCACACAACCACGCACCCAGTCCCCGCTGCGACGCACAACAGCGTCCAGCAGCACAAGTTATGTGCATGCCTGCGCACATAGCGCATGGCAGCATCCAGCCCGGTGCCTGCGATGTGCTAGCGCACACCCGCAGCGTCCAATCGCACGTTGATAATGCCAGTCGTGCCCGAGGGCACGCCAGTGCGCGTCAGCGCGCATGTCCGTGGCCTGCGCCGCACTGCAAGTCGTGCAACAGCCACGCCATGCCCAGTTCATGCCCAGCCATGGTCAAGTGCACGCAGCACCCTCGACCGTGGCCAGAACAGGCCCTCAGCGGCCATGCACGTACCAATCCCGCCAGCAGCCGTGCCCGTAGCCTTGGCAGGTTCGTTGGCCGAGTCAGTCGCCGACCGACCGGTCCGAGCAAACCGGCGGTCCGGCCAGACTAATTTAAAACAGTTCAGATCGGTTTCTTCATATTTTATTATATTAAGTCCCGGTTCATGACTTCAGTCCCGTTTTCAGTTAAATTCCAAGTCGAGTCCAGTTCAATAAATTTATGTCAGTTCAGTTCCGAGTTTATTCAATTCTGGTTGTACCGGTTAAATCCATATATCATGTTAAAGTCCAGTAGAGCATCTTAACATATTAATCAGTTATTTTATCAGTCTGAGCATAGTATTTAGTAATTGTTTATATTATTTTCAGTTTGTTCAGGATCCAGATATCAGCACTTATATTTTCAAATCAGCAGTTCAGGTGGGGACTCAGACTGTGTATTACATTGGTTATAATTGCTCTATCATGTTTTAAGGTATGTATATGAGTTATTCCACTCTGGGTGGAGGCGCAGTAGCCTTAATAAGCCATCCCGAGTTCCGGTGGAGGCGCAGTAGCCTTAATAGGCCATCGGAATGTGCACATGGACGGACATAGTGTCCGAAGAGGTTCAGTTCAGTTACAGACCTTGTGTTTGGAGATTACAGTTTACTTATATATACCTGCAGTCATGATATTGATATTATTATTGATGTTTACTTTAGTATGAGTTTCTGCAGAGTACAGTGTTTTTAGTACTCACGCTCCCACTATTATCATGTTTTTCAGGTTATGAAGTCGGGACAGAGGAGTGAGATGACAGAGCTGTTTGGGATTATGCTTATAATGCTTAAATTATGTTTTGTACAGTTTGAATTTGGCATAGCAGTGCCGTTGTTATTTTCAGATAACTTGTTTTCACGATCACAGTACTGCTATCCAATTTCACCACTACAGTTTCCGCTGATGTTTTACTGTTCGTCATTCTTAGTCAAATGAATCAGTCGGCGAACTAGTAGTTGGTTTTTCAAACCAAATGTCCAGGTTTTTCAGTCAGTTATGTATTTTAGTAGCACTCCGAATCAGTACTTCGCAATGTAAAATGTTTTATTTTGAACGTAATTGCGAAAAGAGCACTCTGATTTTAATGAAATAGCGGGGTGTTACAATCTTTGTTCTCACATCTGTGCGCTTTTGATTTATAATAGTTCCCCTGTCGTTTTGAAAAAAAAAACTCTAAATTTTAGTTATTTAATTTTTATATGCTTTAATAAAACCAACATTCATCAGTTCTTTCTCACGTTAAAGATTTTATTTTGAAGTAACTCTAAATTTTCGTTATAACTAAATTTGTGCAACTAATATTGAAAATTTAAAATTCAAATAAAATGTAATATTTTTTTTCTTAAAAAAATATTCTTTAAACTTTCATATTATTTAAAATAATTATTTTATAGTAGAAGAAATTCAATTGTAGATCAAGTATTACTAATCATGAAATTTAAGTGAAGGTTAGTATTTATTACTATATTATATAAAATCAAAGTTCACATAAAATATATTAATAACACATCTAATGTTATAATTCGGTTCTTAATTTTGGTTTTTCAGTTCGGTACAGTACGGGACGGTTCGGTTCGGTTCTCGGTACTGATATTTGTGAAATCTCCAAAACCGTACCAATTATTTTTTCGGTTCGGTTCAGTTCGGAGAAAGCCAAACGGTCAACGGTTATTTTTCGGTTTGGAGTGATTTTGGTTCGATTTTCGGAACGGTTCGGAATTCTGCGAGTCCCATGCTCAGCCCTAGCTGGAAGTCCTATAAATAGGACATTGTTTATAGCTACATGACACACTGAAAATCTCATATGCATTCCCAACTCTCATCTCTCATAGCCTCACACATACATAGTGCTCAGTTCTCGTCTCTGTTATTGTTCGTCGGAACTCTAAAATTGGAGTGCTACAGCTTCTGAGTGTATAGCCGTTGTATCTTTGTGGACTTTATGGTCCACCAAAAGGTGGTTAGCCCACCATTGTTGAAAGTAAAATAGGCTGCCAATCTTTGACAAAAGAGTGCAATTAGGCTGCCAATCTTTGACAAAGTAGAGGAATACTACTTTACTGAAACACACTAAGCAAATAGAAGAGCAAGAGAACAAGAACAATATTTATTGTGAGTGTCAGATTTTTCAGTGAGATGAAAATAGAGTGTTTGAGTAAATCCTTTGAGTGTGAGAAAAATACACCGGGTTGGGTATCATCTCTATTACTCCTTGGGGTCTCACTGACATTTCTAGTGTAGGGGAGTGTGAAACGATATTGTAATTATCTTGAAAATATAGTAGAATTGTTTGGAGGTTGTCCCGTGGTTTTTTCTTCTATATTGGAAGTTTTTCCACGTTAAATCCTAATGTCTTCTTTATTTTATTTATTTAGGATATTCTTAGTATGATATGTGGTCGCAGTTTAATCTGATCTTCCAAATCAGAAAAGAATTATTCATGTTTTATTGCAAGAAATTTCTTTTGTCATTCTTGAGTTGTTGGGACTAAGATTATTCACCATTTTACATAGGTATTTTAATTTACACTTTCTGCAATTGTGCATCTGAGCCCAACACTTTAAGCACAGACTCGTCAGTACTATACGGGCGTATTTGTCTTGCGGAAAGATTTCAATCACATCGGCTTTAATCTGTCCGTATTTGAGTTGTATTTTATATTTCTTGTTTAGTTTATATTGTACGAACTGAACTCTTCAATCCGTTTATAGGTTCACGTGTAATCGAAACACATATTCTGAAACAATATAATTTTCAAATTTCCACCTTCAATCAAATACAAAACATCTAAAATATCATGTTGGTCTTTTTATTTTTTAACATGTTTCTACCACTTTAGACGAAAGGAAAGATCGATCAACAGCCAATTACACGTCCTCGGCAAATTCATATTTCATATTTCCACATGTCACCTCATCACTGGCACAGTACTGCAGATGCAGGATAATTCGGTAGGTCGCTATGCACCGGATCGGAAACGGATAGGCCAAACATATTGATTTGTATGTAGATAAAATATAAAAATATCCAAAAGTTGAAGCACACACTCACCGTGCGAGCTCCAATGGCGTCCTCCGCCCAATCCTCGGCCGTTGCTTCCCGCCATTTCCCGCGCTCTTCCTCCTCTATTCGAATCCCCAAACTACACCTCGCAAGCTCGACAATACCCAGGAGCTCCTCTTGCCGGAGTTTCTCCCTCTCAGCCGGAAACTCGTCCGCCGTGGGTCCCGCTGCTCGATCGTTTTTGCCGCCTGAAAATCGCTGTCTTTTTTTTTTTTTTTTTTGATGTTCCATTTGTTTTCTCGGTGCAGAGAGAGTTATGGGGAGTGATCAATTCGAAGAGCAGTGTAGTTCAAAGAAGGGAAATGCGAGGCGTTGTAAGGGCGGAGATGTTTGGGCAGCTGACCAGTGGACTCGAAGCAGCTTGGAGCAAGCTTAAAGGAGAAGGTATGTGTGTGTGTGTATGTGTGTGTGCGTGTGTGTGTGTGTGTGTGTGTGTGTGCGTGCGTGTGTTGCTTTATTCCGAGCTCTTTTGATCTTAGTGCAATTCTATCTTCATACCGAGCAATATGTGCTGTGGTCATCTGGTTGATTTACACGTTGAGGTGTGTGTAGAACGTGAGTGATCTTTGTAGTATAAGAAAATGGATTCAAATGTCCAATGTCAAAAGATTAATTTGAATTGCAATCATGCTGTCATGCCAAAGTAGTGAAGGAAAAATAAGGTGTGTTGATGAGCCGAGTGCTTATTCAAAAGAGATGCCTTATGCTGTATCAAACAGCACTCATGTGAAGGAAAACTGATTCTGCAGGCATTTACCAGAGTAATTCGCTTTATTTTGATTTGTTTTATTATTTATTTATATATTGCGTTTTACGCTATTCAGAGGTTTTGACCAAGGAAAACATTGTGGAACCCATGAGAGACATTAGGAGAGCTCTTCTAGAAGCAGATGTAAGCAACATAATGTCCTGAAAATCGGAAATGAAATCTCATACTTCCCTCTCATACGTTTCATTTTCTATTGACAGGTTAGCTTGCCTGTTGTTAGAAGATTTGTTCAGGCCGTAAGTGATCAAGCGGTTGGCACTGGGTTGATCAGAGGAGTGAAACCAGATCAACAACTAGTAAAGGTGTGTTTAACAATGTATGCCTTTTCAATCAATATAATCTTCTGGCAGTTTACTTGGACACCGAATTTTAGATGGCTTTTGAATATCTACCCTGAATATGTTCTTTGCTATTTGTTGCTTATAAAATACATAATAACATTTGCTACGGTTGAGTCTGTTCTTTGATATATATATTGCTTGTAAACTAATTCAATTGAACCCCCAAACCCCATTGCTGTCTTTTCCAGACAAAGACATGGGCTTGTTTTGTGATCAGATCTTGTTCCAACATGTCATGTATGTTTCGATTCAGAATCAAATTGCTTCCCCTAGCCCCGGAATAGTCAAAATAGATTCAAGAGCAATGGTGATTTTCTTACATTCTTTACCTTATGCAGATTGTGCATGATGAGCTAGTAAAACTAATGGGAGGAGAAGTTTCTGAGCTCGTTTATGCAAAATCCAACCCGACTGTCATTTTATTGGCCGGGTTGCAAGGTGTTGGAAAGACAACTGTCAGTGCAAAACTAGCTCTATATCTCAAAAAGCAGGTGATCGTTCTTGAATTTATATTTCTGTAAATCTTACCTCTATCTTTCTTCATATAGTTTCTGCAGTACATAAAATATTTAGAATGTTATGATCAAGCTTACTTGACAGGGGAAGAGTTGCATGCTAGTTGCTGGGGATGTCTACAGACCTGCTGCAATTGACCAGTTGGTTATTTTAGGTGACCAGGTAGTTCTCTTGCAATGACCTGTAGGCTGTATCTCAGTCATCCATATATGAACATGAAAATGGTGTCATAGGTTTATGTGATTAACTGTTTACGGTAGTTCGTTGACATGAGAATTACGTAAATTTTTCTGGATGTAACGTAAATGCTGTTTTATGTATTTTGAGACTCTCTTTGCCAAATAAATTTCTCTTGTAATGATCACATGGTTTTCCTCATGTTTCTTAGAAGACATGTTCAGTGTGTCAATGATTTCAGATATTGGGGGGGTTTAAGGATGATGTGACTGTCTAAAATCTGTAGTGTACTTCTTAATGAACTGGAGAAGTATATTGTCATGTTAAAATAGGTTGTCTATAAGAATAAATGGCCTCACAGTTGTAGGTTCTCTCCCTTATCTTTCTATTAATGTTCTTGACCTTGTACATTTCTCACTTAAACGCTTTGAGCAGGTTGGCGTGCCTGTTTACACAGCAGGAACTGATACTAAACCTGCAGATATAGCAAAGCAGGGGTTGCTAGAGGCCAAGAAAAAGAATGTTGATGTAGTCATAATGGACACTGCTGGAAGACTTCAGGTGAGCCGTTAGATTACATGGCCATGGGAGAGAGCAAACAGCCTTGGAAAAGTCTTTAGTTAAACATAAAACTAAGAAATGTTTTTTTTTTTTCCTTATCAGATAGATAAAGGAATGATGGATGAACTGAAAGACGTCAAAAGAGCATTAAATCCCACAGAAGTTTTGCTTGTGGTGGATGCAATGACGGGCCAAGAAGCTGCTGGTATATATATGCTTCCTGTTAATATTTAACAGGTTTCATTACTTGGTAAATTTGAGCAACCCTTTCATTTGGAGTGTAGGTTGGCATTAATATCCTCCATATTTTGGAAAAATAATGTTATGTCTGACGTTCTGACGCTTATTGCCTAACATATTGCCACGTGTGCAGTGGCGGTGGCACTCGATTAACTTTTTTCCTTTGACCTTGTCTATTTCTCTGGCTTTTCCGCTGCGCATGTGTATTATATACTTTTGCTTAAATTTTAGGTCTTGGTTACTATTTCCTAAAATGCATCTGGGTGGCTAAATTTTACTCCCTGAACCAACCTCATGGTCTCTGTGCTCCATTCATGTCATATGAATAATGCTTTAGAATCACGTTGAGTAAATAATCTATGTGATTTACTTGAGATAACCTTTTATGTTTTTAGCATTGGTCACAACGTTCAATGTGGAGATAGGAATTACTGGTGCCATTTTAACAAAACTTGATGGAGATTCTAGAGGTGGTGCAGCATTGAGTGTTAAAGAGGTCAGGCATCTAGATCCCCTTGAACTTCTTTCTTACATTAAGTATTATCTTCGCGCATATTATGTAAGTATATGCAACGTAGAGTTAATGTGAACTTCTAAGAGATACGATACCAGTGCAGTATTTAGGATTCATGCACAGAGAACCAATTGATTTTTTTTTTTTTAATAAAATATGATTTCTCATCCATGAATTATAAAAGGCGAACTAAATGGAATTTTATAGTTGTGGCTTTATAATTCAATGGAATATCGAATTGACTCGATACTATTGTCAACATGCTGCTGAAATCATATGCCAACCTAACTTCTATCAAGTGTTGTGAGATGCATGCAGCTAATTTATTTTCAAGCATTTTTGACTAAATCTGAACAACTACATGGAGAAACTTTGTTGATTGGAAGGTGTAAATGGCAATTAACCATTTGACCTGTCACAGGTGTCAGGGAAGCCAATCAAGCTCGTCGGAAGAGGAGAGCGTATGGAAGACCTTGAACCTTTCTATCCAGACCGCATGGCTGGACGTATCTTAGGAATGGGAGATGTTTTGTCATTTGTTGAGAAAGCTCAAGAAGTTGTGAGTATCGAACTTCCAATCAGTTTACTAATACATACGTGTATATATAAATTTCCATGAGATGAAAATGTGTATATATGTTGAGTAGATGCGCCAAGAAGATGCCGAAGAATTGCAGAAAAAGATCATGAGTGCAAAATTCGATTTCAATGACTTCTTGAAGCAAACACGTGCAATGGCGCGGATGGGCTCAATGTCTCGTGTTATTGGAATGATGCCAGGAATGGGAAAGGTAAAAAAAATGTGGTGGTTACTCTGTTATAATTCTTACGACTATTTTCTCAAAGCAGCCAATTGTCCTGGAAGAGAACCATCCCTGTTAATACTCTTCACTAACTTAACCATTGTCCTCTGGGAATAGCTTCTATGACCTTCCGTTTTTACCTGGTTCTAGTATTTAATTGGCAAATATGAAGCCATGATTCTTGTGACCTAACTAAATTGATGATATGCAATCAGGTAACACCAGCACAAATTCGGGAGGCAGAAAAGAGTTCGAAATTGATGGAGTCTATGATTGAAGCAATGACACCAGGTTATTCTTCCTTTTTTTACCTGCAACCAACAAGTTTGCAAAAGAAATATACCTGAATCTTTTATATTCTTATTTGATGCCTTTTACCTTGTTGCTTCTAGTAAATAACCATTTTATTAAAAAAGCTAGTATATAACTGTGAACTCTTGTGTTTCTCTGCGTGTTGCATTCATGCAGAGGAAAGGGAAAAACCAGAATTGTTGGCAGAATCACCTGAGAGGAGAAAACGAGTCGCTAAAGATTCCGGAAAAACCGAGCAACAGGTAACAAAGTGGAGGGATAGTTAAATAGCCAGAAAAAACGAATACATGTTTCTCTATTTTTTCAATGAGCTTTCAACAGCCGAAACATAACTGAATGTCAAAACAATGGCATCAATTTTCCAGGTGGGTCAACTTGTTGCTCAGCTTTTCCAAATGCGTGTGCGCATGAAGAACCTGATGGGTATTATGGAAGGCGGATCACTTCCTGCGCTGAGCAATCTTGAGGAGGCCATCAAGGCAGAACAGAAGGTCCCATTGCTTTTATTATATTCTTGTCACTAGTCATAATAACTCGTGCATTCAAATCATTGGCATTTATGTGTTTAGATTGTTTTCAAGAAAATAACCCGCTCATAGATGAACTCGTTTGTTGTAGCAGGATCTAGAAACAGTCAAGAATTCAAAAACCATAGTGTCTGCTTATAAAAATAAAAGCTAATAGATGAATAAATTGAAAAAAGAGTGATAAAATAAATTCTATAGTCACTTTGTGCAACAATTGAACCATTAGCAAAATCCAAAACTTAGATCAAACCCTCTTTCCCCATCAACCAGGAGCAAAAGCCATCATTAATTACCGTACAAAGAACACCTAAAATAAATCAATAAATATAATTCAGCCAATAACTGTTAATAATTTGAAGTCGTGTACCCGAAATGTACAATTTCATCCTTTTAAGATAGTAATATATAAATTTTTTTCTCTTACCATTTTCCTATATTTGCTGATTGTTGTACTTATCTAGCATTTACGGCAAAAATTGAATTTTTGTCCTTTTAATCTCCAGGCTCCCCCTGGGACAGCAAGGAGAAAGAGAAAATCACCATCAAGAAGGCAATTTGTAGACTCAACGTCTAGGCCTGTTCCTCGTGGCTTTGGGGCCAAGGATTAAAGCGAACGTCCTTTTTTAAATTCCGCAAGCCATCCACACTGGTTCACTACTTCTAATTGTGTTGCACTCATTTAAGGAGCTCGACAAAACTCTGCATCAGGATGAATTATTGTACCTTTTTTTTTCCTTTCCTTTTCTCGGTAAATGAGAATGCTCTCAAGAGTTCGTGTTAGCTCAATCATGTATGTGCATGGTCATTGCTAACAGCCTTGTATTATCCATGTGAAGCTAATTTGCCCTCTATCACTTATTGAAACGAACCTAAATGGCAAAGGCTGTACGAGGATCGGTAAATCGATTTTTCTGTAAATTTTTTGCCAAGATTAAGTGGCTTTTTTGGTGGTTATGCAAACTTGCATTGGTAAAATTGAGATTGATGTCTTATGAACATGTTTCTGTATCAAGTTACTTCATAAGAAAAAGGGAAGACTAGTTAATATACATAATATGCTTAACCATAGTCAATCGAGTGACCATTTTTGTGCCCAAAATACTACAATTACAAAGTAGTTAAGATCCTCAATAATTGAAGAACTTTTTGGATTCAGTGACATGTGTGGCTTGAACCTTTCTTCTGTCTCAATCCTTAGTAACTGTCTACTCCTACTTTTGTTCTTTTACTCTCTCCCCCAAATAAGCATAAGAAAATCACACAACACTTCCAAAAAAATATAGCTAGACTAGAAAAATAGTCTTTCAATCAAAAAGCATAACATGGTAAGCTCTGAAGGCTTTCCGGCCGTTGATGCCGAAAAGGAATTGAACCCGGGCATCGACAAGGATTTTCAGGTCGACCCGGTGTCTTCTGAAGTTGCAACCACAAAGGAAATTGAGGTTAAAAAAAAAATGTTAAGAAGCCAGTTATTAAAATTCTAAGTCCATAATTATAACATTACATTTCTGCTGCAGGAACAAATCGAGTCGGCAAAACAAAACGAAGAGCGGAAAAGAAAGGAAGCCTTGCAGAGTTTTAAAACGGCCCTGATCGTGTCGGGAATTGTCGTGGCTGTTGGTGGTGCAGTTTTTGCCATAGCCAGAAAAATGAAAGAGAAATGAAGCTTATATTGATTGCACAAGAAGACCTTTTTTTTTTTTTTT